GTTGGCGCGGCGGTGAAGGGGGCTGCTCCCGGCGCGCGGCCGCGCTGGGGAGTTGAGGCATGCCCTAAACAAAAGCTGCGGCTCCTGTGTCTTTCTAGGGGACATGAAGTCCTCTGATCGCTACAAAGCCTCTCCGCCTGCAGCTTTCCTTTCGAAGGTTTCCCTGGTGTGTGGATTCTCAGGTGACTAGTGGTATGGTTGAGCACAGACTGTAGCCCCCCATTCTGGGGAAGCCTGCACCCACCTGGGGCTCTCCCTCCCCTCCCTAGCTACGCATTTTCACAAAGCCTGGGGGAAACGAATGTCTCTCAGACTTCTGTCCAGTCTGACTGGGCCTGGCCAGTGAGCCGAGGCTCAGAGGAAAAGGGGGAGAGCGGGAGAGAGCACGGGCAGGCGCCCAGCAGCCCTGCAGCTCTCCGGCATTACACCGTGCTCTTCCCATTCAGGGGTACCAGTTTACCCGCCACGGGGATGATGTGACGGAGAGGCCAGCTGGGATGCTGAAGATGGGAAAACCCTCCCCTGCTCCCCTTTCCCTCCATCCCACTGTGGGGCACCGCTCAGCTGCCTTGCGCTTCTGCACCGGCGTCACCGAGGCAGGCAGGGACGCCGCAGGCAGGGATGCTGCAGGCAGGGCTGCGAGCAGGCGACGGACGGCACTCACTCCACGCCAGTGCTGTTTTCCGTCATGCAGGGGCTGTACGTGTACTTGTAGACCTGCATGGGAATGAAGTCGGACGTGATGGCGATCACCAGTCCGTTCCCGATGACAGCCAGGATGCCGATGGCCTCCAGGACCTGCAGCCAGATTCCTGCGGGAGAAGAGCGGCCAGTGAGACCCCTCTGGCAGCCTCAGGGGTTGCGGACCAAGCACCAGCTCAGGGATGGGTTTGGCATGGCCAGAAGAGGTCAAGGAGAAGACCTCCAAGCTGCCCCTCAGCCTCTGCAGGGTCTGAAACTGCTTCTCCTGCCCCAACCCCCAGGTCTCCCACCTCCACGGTGAAGCGATACCAGTCCCTGGCAAAGGGATGCTCAAGGGCTTCGCACTGGGGAAAGGGCTTAATGCCGGCACAGGCAGCAGTGCTGGAAGGAGGGTGCTCCTCGGGCCCCATCTCACCGATGTCGTTGGCCTTCCTGGGCACGATGCGCCGGCGCAGCCGCATCATCTTGATGGCATCCAGGCGGATCTCAAAGAGGTTGTTGAAGAACGCCAGCAGCGGGGCGAGGGGAAAGGCAGCAACGAAAATGGTGGTGAAGCTGTACTGGATCACTGCGTAGGGGCAAAATGCCAGGTGCTGGCGTGAAGCCACCAGAGAGGGGACATCCCTGACCGCTGTCTGGGTTTGTCCTGCTTCGTGGCTTGTGTCAGAGGGGCTTTGAAGGGGTGAAAGGGGGAGAGAGACCTGTCTTGGGGACCCCACCACCCCCAGGGGACAACCACCTCCCACAGGGCTGTCGGAGAGGGGGATCTGTGAGGGTCCCACTGCGCACTGGTTGAGCCAGCCAGGCAGAGGGACCACCGTGGGGCTACAGCCATCACCTTGATGCTCCTGGGAGGAGAGCAAGGTCCGAGGCAGGGGCCCGAGGCCAGCACAGTTGCCTGCTCTCCCTTGTTTTGGGAATGATCTCCTCGGTGTGCCAGAACTCTTGGAATGGGGCTGGGCATGGAGTAGGGTCTCAGAGCTCTCCCTTGCCTACTTATGGGCTCTGCAGCATCAGGCTCTCTCCAGCCAGGGAGGGCACGGGGCTCTGCACCCAGCACCCCTCATCCCCCGACCCCCTGTCCCACATACCCATCTCCAAGAACTCGTCAAACAGGCTGAAGAAGTTGACCTCGCCGAGCTGATAGTTGCTCAGCCACTGCCTTTTGCAGGGGTCTTCAGCCTCCTCCTCCTCTCCTAACATCATGCTTCTCTTCTTGGGGCGCTGCCTCTTGCGTATCTTGTAGGCTAACCAGCTGCAAGGGGAGGGAGCGATTTGTACCGCTGCCTGCAGAGGACAGCAGGGCTGAAGCGCTGCCAGTGACAGCCCCGGGGACCTGGGGCAGGGGAAAGGAGGAAATCTTGGCCCAAAGAGCTGGGTTACTCTCTGTAAGAGCTGGGAAGCTGTCCTGAATGCGCAGGAGCGCCGGCGAGCGCTCTGCGGGCTGGAGGAAAGCTTACGGGACGAGATACTCCATCACATTGCTGATGGTCTGCTTGAGTATCATGATGATGGCCATCTGGATGAAGAGGTCGGTGATGCAGCCGCTGGGGTGGCACTGCGAAGGGACGAGAGGAGTTGTGCGCTGTAAGCAGGGCCGCCTGCCCCGAGGGGCTCTTTGGCCAAGGCGGGCACTGTAGGAGAATGCTGAGCCTCCCAGAGCCATGCTGGGCGGCAGGGAAAGGAAGAGTAGGAGTTGTGGCGTGAGGTCGGAGAGCTTCACGGCAATTCCCTCACCTCCTCCAGCCTCCACTTGCCAGCAATGCGCACGTAGTTCCCTGGGTGGCCGTTGATCCTGGGGGAGGAAGCAACAACAGCGATGTTTGTTGAGTTCCCCACTGCTGACCCCCGTTGGATGAACTCCGGGTGCAAGATGGAGGGCATGGTCCTCTGGGCACTGGTGGAGAGGGAAGGGGCTTCTTCCACCCACCATGCCCACAGGGAAAAGTCATGGCCCTCCTGAGGTCCCAAATGGGACCCGTGTGCCTGGCGGGGAGGGCAGGGGGACTGGGCTGTCCCTAGACCCCGGCGAGAGTTGGGGATGTGTGTCCCAAACATGGGCTCCCCTCTGCTCCCCCCAGCCCCCAACCACCACTCACCGTCCCAGGAAAAAGGCGATGTAGATGAGTGAAGAGAAGTTTGTGAAGAACTGGAAGGTGAAGATCTTCACTGTGAAGTTGTTCTCGTGCTGGGAGAAGGTCCGTGGTTTCTCTGGGGAAGGGAGCAAGGCCCAGGGGCTTGGTCACGGAGCAGTGGGACCTTGCCCTGCTCCCCCTCGGATGCCAAAGCAGCTCTCTGAAGGTTGGAAGGGTGCCTCTGCCTCTTGTGGAGCCTACCCTGCCCTTTGCCTGAGCCCTTTGGTGGAGCTGAGCCCAGCTAAAGCAGGGAGGTCCCCCAGAGACGTGAGCTGGGGGAGAAGGGGCCCTTCAGCTGGGAGGAAAACCACGTTGTGAGCTCTCCTGCAGCCCTGGGGGCTTCCTGCTCATGGCGGGTCTCAGCCCCATAGGGTGACTGTCCCTCTGAAGCGTAGCGGGGCTGTGGGACAGGCAGCTGGATGCATGTGGGCCACAGGTGAGCTTGTGTGTTGGAGGGCTGCTGCCCTCCCATGGGGACCTGCATGGCAAGAGCTGCCCAGTAGGTGCTTTGTGATGGCGGAGGAAGGGAAGGGGCTGGGAGCCTGGCTGCATTCGGGGACCAAGGGAGTGCTGCGCTGCGGTCCCGGGGTACTGCTGGGCAGCTCGGCGCTGCGGGGTGCGGGTGGGAGACAGCCCCCAGTTTCCCTTACCCAGTTCACAGAGATAGAGGGCCACACGCCTGTTGACCTGCAGGACAATAAAATGACAGGGGAGGGTTGGTGGAGAAAAAGCAGGGAGAAGACCCGCTGCCCGCCCTGTGTCTCGCTCCGCACCTTGGTCATGATGACAATGGTGATGTAGTGCAACACGGCCCCCGTCATCACCGCCATCGTGTTGGCCTGCTCGCGGAGGAACTCAGAGTCGCTCTGGGTGAAGAGAGCCGTCGCTATCACCCGGTAAATGACGAGCGCGTGGGCAATGCCAATCAGCACGACAATCTGTGGAGAAGGAGGGCAGCGGGGTGGTGAGAAGCTGTGCATGGTGGGCACGTGCTCCATCCCACCTGAGGACCACCAGCCCTTCAAACCCTGGCTTCCTTCACCAGAGCTCATCTGGACGTGGCCTCAAATGCAAGCCCATGCCCTTCAGTTAAGGATGAGAGGTTCATAAGGTGGATGTCTCTGCTTGAACTACTCATCTGGGCTCCCTCCCTTGGCCTACAGGGAGAAAAGGGGACATCAAGGGTTTGCCTCTTCCTACCCTCTGTGCTACTGCCTTGATCCTCACTGTCTTCCATCGCAAGAGCAGCGCCACCAGCCCAGACCCCCAAAGGGTGGTTGGCCTCTCCCATCAGCACAGCGAGGTGTGAGCATAGGGAGGGCTCTGGATCCTTGTGATGGGCACGGACCTGCTCTAACAACCTGGTTTCTGCCTTTGCTCTGGGAATAGGACACTGCTCTGCGGTGCTGTTCTTGCAGCAGAGCAGGGAGGGAAGGAGGAAAGCCCATGTGCCCTTGAACCAGATCTTCCTACGTTCACCCTGGCACGTACCATCACCAGAACCAAGAGGAGTATGATGGTGCTGCGGAAGTAGGAGTGCTGGTACTGCCGGGGTTCGTGCTGCAAATTATTGATCAGCTCCATAGCCAGCTCCTCCTTAAAAAAAAAAAAAAAAAAAAAAAAAAAAAAAAAAAATCAAAAAATGGGAAAGGAAGGAACCAGCAGAGCTGTGCCCAGGAAGTGCAGAAAGTCCAGGGGTCGTTGTGTTAATGGACATATGGGATGAGCAGCACGAGAGAAGGACGGGGATGAACACCCAGCCCACACCAGCGTGGCCAGTCCTGACTCAGTTCAAGCCCTTGTGCGGGTGGAGAGGTGACTAGCAATGCAGAGAGGTGGCTAGCATCTGCTTAACTCTGAGGGCTCTGTCTCTCCCAGGACTGTCAGATGTTGAATTTGCTGTTTGTTTGAGTGTTTCCATCAGATGTTTACATCTCCAGAGGATCAAGCCGGGCAAGGGGGTCCCTGTGACGTGTCTTTTCTGTAGGTCCAGCTGAAAAGGGAAGCACGAAGCAGGAAAGATGACATCCTCACCTCTTCCTCATCCCACCTGTACAGGTCCCAGTTGGTGACCACGGTGGCTCTCTGCCTCTTCCACAGCTCCAGGAACACCGTGGCTGTGGGGGGAAGGAGAGAGTGCTGTGACACTCGGGGGTGGCTCTGGAGACGACGTCACCCCTCTGTCCCACCGAGAGGGATGGACAGTTGTGTTACCAGCCAACCTCATGGCAAATCAGCCCGGACTGCCCTCGGCCCGTGAAGGACAGACAGCCACCTCTGCACCTCAGCCACCAGGGAGGACCCTGGACATGCAGCTCTGCGCGCTCGGCCCACGTGGGGATGGGGATGGGGATGGAGGCGGCTGAGTGAGGTGTCACTGGGAGTCGGGCCAGCTCTAGTGTCTGCAGGGGATTCAGCATCAACCAGAGTGAGCCCCAGGGCTGCTCCGCTGGGGTGGGCATGTTCACACGGCGCCAGCCAGACACCTTATTCTGCATTAATGAGAAATACACCTTCCAAGTGGACGTGGTGTCCTCCGCCGCACCCCAGCACGGCTGCACCTCTGCAAACCCCAGTACAACCAGACCTTCTGCTGGTCTGGACTGACCTCCCTGAGCTTGTCCCTGCGTACACCAGCCCACAGCGACACGCGCGACCACATCCGCGACCTGCTCAGACCGCGGGCTCGCGGGTGACATGCCCAACCCGCACCTGCCGTGCTGTTTGTGACCAAGGGCTGGAGCAAAGCCAGATGAGATGTGGAGCTACTACGGTGGTGGGATCGCCCCAGCTCAGAGCCCAGTGGTCTGCTGTGCTCCTTCCACAGCAGCTAAGAGATCACCCATCCAGGAGGGGCCTGGGGGTCCCTCCTTCCCACAGCTGAGACCACTTAGAGGCAGCTGCCAAAAAAGCCCAGCTAGAGATGCTGCTGGGAGCTTGGCAGGAGGTGGTGGGTGAAGGGGTGAGAGCTCTCAGGCGGGACAGGTAAGGAGTGTTTGGGGAGCTGAAGGGGATTGCTGGAGTGATTTTGTCTCTTGCTTTGTCTGGAAGGGGAGCTGATGGCCCTGGAAGCGGAGGAGAGAAGGACTAAAACGCCGCTGAATGGTGAAGCCGTGTTGGTGTCCCATTCTCCTCCACCTGCTTTCCCCCTGAGCCGCAGCGCGCTGCTCCCTCTGCCAAGCTGTGCGCGTTTGGCACCGAGACATGGACACCTACCCCAGATCGCCATGAACATGGCAAACAAAACCGTCCCCTCGTTGTCAATCATGTGGGTGACC